GTAATATACTCTGGACTCTCTTGATCAATAATTATCAAAAATGTTGTCGTTTGTTTACCTATAACAGGGTCATTTAGAAAAGGGGTGTGGCCAAATACCCAAAAGCCTATAAAACCTAAACAAAAACTCAAAAATATACGAAACTTGGTGAAAACATGTGTCAGATGGCTTTTAACAAGCATGCAAAGTTTCATGGAGATCGGACCATAGGTGGTGCTATAACAGTTAAAAAGGCTTCAAAAACACAATATGTCTATAGTAAATGGCCTCAAATTGAAAAAAGCATTTTTTAAAAATGCTCATATATTCACACAAACACTAGATCTTCATATCATATGATAGGTGTCCTCATTTTGAACAACTTTGCCTCTAGGACCACTGCTATCAATCCAAATGTTCTTTAAATATTTTATATTATTTAAAAAACCTACTTTTGTGAACTAGTCCTAGGTTTTTAACTCCAAATCAATAAAACCACTGCAGTACAATTCTCTGGACTCTCTAGATCAACAATTATCAAAAAAAAAAAAAGTTGAATATTGGTATTTGGACCATTTTAACATGGTGATTTAAAAATGTGTTCCTTATATAGTGTACCTAAGTGCTTATCAATCTTAAAAGAAAACTCCAAACATCACACAACTATGTAAACTCATGCGTTATTTGATTCTAAACAATCATGCAACATTTTATGGAGATTGGACAGAAACTGACACTAGCCAAGTTTCTATCCAGTTTTTGCGCTGTTTTGTTGTCGACAAAGAGAATATGCGTAAAAAAACTTGCGAAATATGCTGTCTACAGCATATTTCCATCCAAATGGCCTCTTACCGATAAAATGCGTGGTGACGTCATCCCTAAAAAAAAAACCGAATTGACGCTTAAGTTTTGGTGTATTGCAAAAAAAATTGCCCTTGAGCTGTTTTAATTTCATAACATAATTTCACCTATTGCGTAAATTATATAGGATTGTAGACTGTTCTTCATCCATTTGAAACAAAACTTTATTATATAGTCTATTATTAAATTGCATAATGCATAAAATAATTTTTAACAAGTGTCATGTATTTTTTTTGTACTTTGTTATAGACTAGTTCAAGCAATATTCATAAACAGGTGCAGTTCTATTAGCCTATCATTATTTTTCTGATTAACTTTTATTAGGAAATGTTAATTTCGGTTATTTTATTTCTCCTAACCGACAACCGATGGTCGTTAAGCCATTATTAACTGACAAGATTGTTAAATTACAATTAAATTAAAATTGAATTGATACGTGGCTGTGACCCATTAAAAATACATAAATTAGTTTTCCAGGGATTAATTTTATACACGAAAAAAAGCAGCATAAACAACAGAACTTGAGGATTCACATGGTCACGCACCTGCAGCGCTTCTGTGAACGGAGAAACACATAATAAAGCTAAATATAAAATAAATAAATAGGCCTATATGCGAAATATATTTTTCTCAATAATAAATTAACAAAACGAAAGAAAAAAAAACTGTGCAACAATAAGCAGCCTAAATGTAGAATTTTGGCTTATTTTTGTGATGCGCTCTTGAGAAAGCAGCATCCTGTTTGTTTCCTTTATTTTACAAAATCACAATGTTTTGTTTTTATTGTGAATGTACACAAATAAAAGGATATTTAGAATAGTTTTGAATAATGTCTTACTCTCATATTGTGAGACTCTGTTCCGTGTTTTGTGTTTCCATGCCCTTATTTGGTTTTCCTGTTCCTGCTCCCTGATTGTTTCCCATTTGTTTCCAGCTGTGTTTTCCTTCGTGTTATTATGTTTCATTAGTTCCAGGTGTTTCTCGTCATGTCTTGTGTATTTAAAGTGTTCCCGGTTCTTAGTTCTTCGTCTGGTATTGTATGTGTCAACCTTCTCGGCTACGTGTTTTCCTGGTTCCCTTGAAGTCATTAAAATCTCCTTATTGATGTTCTCCTCATCTCCTCGTTCCTCGCTCCGCGCTCCAACACCGTAGCTTCTTGACACATATGACCACAAATGGAGTATTGTAATTTGTTTCCACTTTTGAGGGGAAAAAAAACAAGTGATCGGACACTGGCGCCTCACACGCGCAGTTGAGCATTACTAACTCGACAGCGCAGCACTCTACAACAAATCCTTTAAATATAACGGTAGAACTAGGGCTGAAACAATTCCTCGAATACCTCAAGTAACTCGAATACAAAAAATCATCTGCCTCGAGGCTTCGTTTAGTCCATTTACTGTAACTACACTTTACTGTTTCCCCACGGACCATTATTACTGATGCACAAACTGGACCAGACCATAGACTGTATAAAAACAGGGACCAGACTTAAAAAAAAAAAGCGCTGGACATATTTAAGACCGTAACTCAATATAGTGGCTAGGTATGATGTCCCTACGTTAGCTATGTTTTGTGAAAGACTAAACGCCAATACCACAGAAAGAAGGTTAGTCAATATCACACGAAGAGTGCCAGTTTCCACCTCTAAAATCAGCATGATTACAAATGTGATTTTATTCAACAGTTCAATAAACAAGAAGGTAAATTTATGAGACTTACGTTTTAGACACTATATTGCCTGTTTTTGCTTTATTTTGCCAACAAAAAAATTCCAAACACAGCCACAGCGCTTCCTGAATGAATCAACCGTTTAAATGATTCGGTTCAATCGCAATAACTCACTTCTTAACAGTGACTTGCTGCCACCTGCTGGGGGTTTTAATTTCACATTTAAAGTATCTTTTCATTTTTAAAATAATTTTAAATATCAATATTCAATGTTTTATGTTTAAAATAACAAAATATTATTTATGCATTTGTAACTGCAGGTTAAATGCGTTCATGTCCCTCTGTGTGGGAAATAAATCCCATGCAGCTTCTGTGTTTCCTCTGCATTGCAAAGATGAATTTTGATACTGATATAATTTGGTTGGTAACAGCCCAAATGTCTTTTATTCTAATTGACTGATTAAATGTAAGAATTTGACTCAAAAAGGAAGCACACTGTGCCCATAAAATGCCCATAAAATGTAAAAATCTATTTAAACTATTAGAACAGATTAATTTCTATCACTGCTATGAACGGACCCGCACACAGAATATGAAAGATATCAAAAACAAGTTTTACACACACACACACACACACACACACACACACACACACCAGTACGTAAAGGGACATTTAAGAGGGTTTATTCTCCAAATAACTCTAATTTCATGTTGCAGAAAAATGTTTAAAAATTGTGCAGGGTCTCTTGTTCTTGTTCCAAGTTACCTTCCTGTCCACTGATTTTTGCCTCTCACAAAAGCCACTAAGCTTTCCAAGAAGACAGTAAAGGCTTATGTCATGCTTGAGCTTTAGTTAGGCTGAAACTTGAAGGTTAAGTTGCACGACATAAATGCAATGTTTAGGTATTATTATTATTTGTATTACTATTATTTTACTATTATTTTAATTTTACTATTAGTTTTAGTTTGTACTGTTTACCTTTTTTAAAGTAATGTGAAATTGATTTTTAATATTTTTTTTGTATTTTTAAATTTTTTATTGATATATTTGTATTTGCATTTTGAATGCAATTTGGCAATTAAATACATGAAATGGGTTTAGTTTTCACGGTTATTAATGTATGCAATTTCAGCAATAAAAATTTAAATTTTTCTAAAAAGAAAAGAAATTAGTTGTTTATTTTAAGAGATCTATCTTTTTATCTCTTGCATATTTAGTATTGCTCTTTAATAAAGAAAAATTACTTCTTATCCGATTACTCGATGAATCGATGAAATAATCTGTAGAATACTCGATTACTAAAATAAACGATAGCTACAGCCCTAGGTAGAACAGAACTCAGAACAAAACAAGAATAAAAATATAAGAAGCTACTAACAAGCCAAAATGAGTTAATTAAAAATTTTGTACTTCGCTTTCTAATATCCACGTAAAACAAAATGTGCTTGGCATAATATCACAGGGGTATGGTGGTCACGCTGAATGGCACGGACTACAGGCTAAACTGAGCAGTGCACAGTAAAAAATAACGTAAAGGTAGGCTACTAAAGGAACATCAAAACAAGATAAGTATGTTTGAGAGGCAACTCGTCTTTTGCTTACCATATATAAAATAATTTTAAATGCAATTTAATAATATGAATATGATTTAATGCGCTTTTGAACTACAGGGAAACGGTGCTTTAATGGGAGCAACACCATGAACACGGACGCTATAGGCTAATTCTGTCATTTGACACCACATTTATTTGCGTTAAAGCCCCTTTTCTCGACAAAAAGTGTTTCCAAACAAATTTTTGCAACATTTGAAGTATTGATATAGAATTTATTCACTAAAGTTAAACGGAAAAAGATCGTGTCGAGACATGACAAATTTTATCGATAAATGGCATTTCCATCAGCTATATCGGTAAAAATTGAAGCGCTAAATATTTTCCGCAAAAAATCCTTGCATGGAAACCTGTCTACTGTAATAGTTATGAAGGTTAAAAACAGTACATGTCTATGCTGTATTCCCTGAAAGTGCAAATACAACCACTAGATGGCAACAAAGGATCACTCATTGGCTCATTCTATCACTTACATAGTTCTTTTCTCAGGTTTTATTATGGACTGACATTCAGATAGTTTAAAATCATTATTATTATTACATTTTAAATTACATTTAGTCAAAGTTTACCACTTCATTTAAACAGACATATATCAGTTTTGACAATTATGCCACATTATGATTCAATTTAAACCTGAAAGAATATTATAAACAGGACACTTCCAGTAAGCATTTTATGGCATGGAAGTTATTTCAAATATCTATATCGACAACATAATGTGTGTGTGTGTGTGTGTGTGTGTGTGTGTGAGCATGCTTAATCTGTATTAAGTAATAGAATATGTGTTAAGTAATATAGTTCAACCGTTTCATTACTCTGTGTGTGTGTGTGTGTGTGTCATCATCATATTCTCAATCATGGATGTGTTCTGGTGTCAGCCATACATTTCACTTTGGCGGAGACCCCTGACAGCATAGAAGCCATGAAGGCCTTCAAGTGCTTGAACCCCGGTAATCGCTGCTTGCAGCTATATTTAATATTAATATTTTTATTGATTCACAAAGTATGGTTCAATACTTTTTTTAAATACTAGAGCACTATTTTAGTTTCTGTTCAGTATCCATTTTAAAAACTATCTGTTGATTAATCGGTATTAGCCAGTGTGGTCCAACCTAGCTATCGCAAAAATCCACTATCGACCTCTAGTTTTTGCCCATAAAATGAAACTAGGTGTCCTAAACTACATTGAATCCCAATTACTTTTATTTTATGAACAGAAACCTGATACATTCCTAAAAAATAGAGAACTTATTACAGAAAAAGAAAAAAAAACTTTAAAAGAATATTCTTAAGTGCAAACTGAAAATGAAATTGTATTATGTAAATGTATACTTGTAGAAATTAATTGCATATTTATATGTATTTTTATAATTATATTGTCTTTAAAATATAATTAAAGTGTACTGCCGGGTTGGTCCCACTTTATATTAAGTGATCCTAATACCTGTGTACTTGCATAGTAACTAGATGTGTACATAGTATGTATCCACAGTGCAAGTACATATTGGAACATAGTATCTACAGCTGTAATGTTTGTGTAACTACACATATGTAACAACCCACTGAATGGTATGTGTAAATACAAATGTGTAACAGGACATTGGTAACAAGATTTTTGGTAACGAAAGTACAAATCGCTTGTGTGTACTTCTTTAAAGCATAATAAGAAGATTATTAATTCATGATTTAAAATGTACTTAAAAGTAAAACTTATAATTTGACTTTATTATTTTTAAATATCTACATGAAATTATTTCATTGATATTATATAACCTGAAAGTACAGTTTGTTATAGATACATTTTTAAGATTTGAAGTATGCTACAAGGGCATATCAATACAATTAAATGCACTTTTCTTCTCCTTTTTTCCTTTTTTTTGACAACAGTATACTTTTGTTATTATAGTATTAGTTTTAGTATACTTTTATAGTATAGAAATTTTAAGGTAGAATCAGCGGTTATCCTTTTTGCCAAAGGCAATCCCAGGATGCATGGCAATGAGATCAGTGAACAAATTAATCCAACACCATTTTGAGATGGACATGGTTTCAACAAACAGTTCAGGAAACCCACTAGTTGATTTTGAGGATGTATAGTATTTACGTGTGCATTTTATGCATTTCAGTATTTTATGGGGAAATATCTTTAGGGCTGCCACCACCCCAGTCCATATGCTCATCACCCATCTGTTTCTCTTTCTGTTTGTTCCTTATGGCAGTTGAGAGGTCAAAGTCGCAACAGGTGTGGAGCACAGGTGCTATCAGACGGACTTCCTCTCTGGGTGCTATCACCGGGCCCTACCTGATAGGACAGTGGCCACGTGAATCCCACCTGCACAGCCTCTCGTGCATGAAAGACAAGTCCACACAGGTAGGCACTATCACCCTCTATGTTCAAAATCTACCCTCTGGCTTCAAATCCTGTGTGTTCAGGTGTGTTTGCAAACGTTAGCTTGACAGCATTTATAGGTCCATCATTCTTCTGGGTGTTTGCTGTGTAACTGAGGAATTTTTTTCTTTCTGCGATTTCTGTAAGCTGATACCAACTGATTATTCTCAATAGGAGTTGGCCCTCGCTGTGAAAATAAGAAATTCAAAAGGTCCAGTGATCTACTGATCTACAGCCAGATTATTTCAATAATGACCAACATAATCTACCAAGAGCAGTACAAATTAGTACATTTAATGCAGCCACCCCTAGTAGCAAAGTGATATAATTAAAATACATTTATTTCATACTAAGTATAGTTGAAATCTATTAAAACGTTTACTGATATATTGCTCGAGACTTGCTGATATGAAAATTATAATTAAACTTTATTTGGAGTACTTCTTGCGCACAATGCACATTTCTTAATATTAAGCCTAAAATATGTTTTAATGTCACTATTGTTGAGGATTGTTTGATCTTTGAATAATGCAAGATATTTAAAGTGTTCCTAAAGTATACTTGCAATAGTTCCACTTTAGCACAATCAAATATACTTCAGTTCATCTTTAGTTGGGACTTCAGCACTACTTCTGCACAATTAAAATGCATTAAGCACAAAATTAGTTGTTCCAATTCAGCAGACTTTAAGTATACCAGTTTAGTATATTTACTGATCTACAGCCAGATTATTTCAATAATGACCAACATAATCTACCAAGAGCAGTACAAATTAGTGCATTTAATGCAGCCACCCCTAGTAGCAAAGGGATATAATTAAAATACATTTATTTCATACTAAGTATAGTTGAAATCTATTAAAACGTTTACTGATATATTGCTCGAGACTTGCTGATATGAAAATTATAATTAAACTTTATTTGGAGTACTTCTTGCGCACAATGCACATTTCTTAATATTAAGCCTAAAATATGTTTAATGTCACTATTGTTGAGGATTGTTTGAGCTTTGAATAATGCAAGTGTTCCTAAAGTATACTTGCAATAGTTCCACTTTAGCACAATCAAATATACTTCAGTTCATCTTTAGTTGGGACTTCAGCACTACTTCTGCACAATTAAAATGCATTAAGCACAAAATTAGTTGTTCCAATTCAGCAGACTTTAAGTATAACAGTTTAGTATATTAAAAGTACAATTACAGGGTATTTTTATTAAGTACATAAATATGTACATGTATTTGTAGTATGCTTAGTATGAAATAAATTAATTTCAAATACATTTCAGTATATTTATTTTTCACTAGGGATGTCAATCACAAAATGGGTTAAGTCATGCTTTTTGTTAAGTAATGGTGCAAATACCAGTAAACTGCCTATGGCAAAACGTTGTAAATCACGCTGCATGATTTATTTAAATACTCTCCTCTCATACATTTAGCTTTTAAAGGTGAAACTCCTACATATGCAATAAGATCAGCCACAAAAATAACTTTGTTCACATCTTTTCAATACTATTTTTTCACTGCATGTCTTTAGCAAATCCTAACAGTATTTTTTTAAATGCCAAAATAGGTTTGCACTGGTGCAAGCTGTCCCTTAATATTTTAAATTAATATTCATATCGTATACAAATGATTTTGAAATCCTTCATTGGTCTAAAGGTGTGGGAACTTTCAAAGCAGTATAGAGTTGTAAACTGTAGTTAACTTTAGCATTTGGCATGAAGAAGTTATTGGCACTAAATAAACCATTAACCACAGACTGGTAACCGACACTTTCACAACTTACACATGGGGTCTGGTTTTTGACCCACAGCTGAATTGCAGAAATCTGTAATACATCATCAGAGGCTGTAACGATCAGCAGTTGTAACTGTAATGCAGTTTGAGTATTCAATGGTTAATTAATGAACATGAGCTGCCTTGCTTTCTACTGTCTTCTAAGGCAGCATCCTAACTGCATCACAAAAAGCACATTTCACATGTGAAGCGCACATAAGACTCACAGTTGAATCAGTAGAATCACCACAATGAATATGAATTAAATGTATATTATCCTTATTAAAAAGTTACAAAAGTTATTTAGTCAATAGCAGTGAGAGATTTTCTCCTTCTCTTTTATTGTCTTTTTGTTGTTTGATCAACATTAAGGACAGACAGCGGCAGGTATATTAGGCTGCTGTCACTTTAAGACCTACTGCACAGCTCTAATATACTGATACACACAATGTTGGGGAAAGTCATTTTTAAAAGTAATGCATTACAATATTGTGTTATTCCATAAAAAAAGTAACTAATTATGTTACTTAGTTAATTTTAATGGAAAGTAATGAGTTACGTTACTATTGTGTAAATGTAAATTCATGTCTGTATAGTAGAGGGCACAGCTCAAACCATTCTGGATTGCATGAAGAATAGGATGCAGGAAAAGAAAGTTCAACACTCTTCAGCAATAAAACAATTTAATATAGATGTTATGTTTATTTAAAGTATTTTTTGTAAAGTAAAATGTAATGCATTACTATACTAGTTACTTGAAAAAAGTAATCTGATTATGTAACCCAGGTTACTTGTAATGTGTTACCCCTAACACTAGATACATGTTTTCTTTCTCAAAAGACAAAACCGACTGTGTTTATGAGAATACTCACCAAGGCGGATATTTTGACATCATTTCGTGTATATTTGTCTGTTCAAGCGTAAGAACACATGAAGGAGAACTCAGTTCGGTATTTGCGTGTTGTCGGTGGTTTTCAGACAAAAGAAAATATAAGACATGAAAGTACTGGATTTAGTTCTCTTTCGTGTGGTCTTGTACCTAAATGGTTTACAATTGTTTGATTGTTCAAACTGGCATGACGTAGAAACACGTGCAAATGATAACTTTGCAGTGTGACCGATCAGGTCAGTGACGAAGCCATCAACTGTCCCAAGCGTTTATCACGCCGGTCCCAAGGCTTCAGCCAGTCCATATTGTCCGCATGTTTAAGGTCATTGCAGGTCAAGCATAATCAGTCAATCTGAGGTGTTAGTTACAAAGCAAGTAGCCTATTCAACTAGTCGATTACTATGGCATGTCCCTCCTGAGAACACGCCGTACCTCACGCACACCTGGCCTACGGTCAGGTGCTGATTTACCCTCAAATGTCAGCAGGTGTATCAGGCGGAGCACAATCACCACAATCCCACAGTTCCACCCACCATCTGCTGCTACACTGAAGGTGAGATTTGGCACCTGCAGGAGTGCAGTGTGTCTAAAGGTAATGACTCTGCCGTGCCTCTTATTGTGTGCTTCAGCATGCAGCGAGTGTCATATTAACCGTTCAGAAAGACGAGATGCCCCAGGAATGTCGTTCCCCGTGTTTGCTGGCCTCCACTGTTACTCCAGTTTTTGAAAGACACCTACATTGTGCATCTGTTCAGAATGTCCTTGTTCTGCAGGCCGTCCACACCGCACTGACAGACATCGGCCAACAGACACTGTCATTGGTGTGTTACCTCTCTCTTCATTTGTTACCGTTGCTCCGTGTTTGTTTTTGGCGATTGAACATACTGAATTTCCGTTTGTTGGGTCTTAAAATGTCTGAGAAGTGACATGCTGTAATCTGTGTCTGATGGTGCAGTGTGAATTAGCCTAGTACTCAATTTCATGTAGTTCCGAACACATTGTCATCTTCTATGCAAAACCAAAGAAGATTTTAAAGGCAGAAAGCTTTCGTGTTCTGTACAATAAAGAGTGGTGATTACTGTAAAACTACTATTAAACGGAAAAAAGTAATTTTCTTTTCTCTGAAGAACCTGAACAAAAGTTTCTTTATAGTGGAAGAATGCTCTTCACACAAAGAAAAAGCTGAAAAGCTGAAAAGCACTTTAATGGCATCACTGCAACAAAAAAAATGGAGCATGTATTTGTGTAAATTAAGAGTCATATGATAGCTTTGTGTGAGGCACTTAAGCAATTATTCACAAACTTTCCCTCTGTTATAGCTCTTAGGTAGGGATGGGCGGATCGATCCTTAAGTATCGATACTTTCGATACTGATATTGTATCGAAAGGATCGATCCTCACATAAAACCATTTTAAACCATTAATTTTATTTATTTATCAAGAAATTCAGTGCTTAAAATAAGCTTCTAAGTGGAAAAATAGACTATATTAGCGAATAATTGTGTTGGATAGAACCATTTCTCCTGCTCATCAGAACCTCTATGATCAGAACACACGCAAATACTGAAAGACAGAACCAATCAATCACAGACAGCGTGGCTCACAGTGCTTGTTCAAATAGGGCTGCGTTTCCCAAAAGCATCAGAAGCATAAGTAGATCTTAAGAAGCCATTGCCACATTATTACATTACATAACATTGTTACTATATATAAAATTGTATAGTTGCACCTTTGAGGTTACTGCCCCAGTAAAGGGCTAAAAAACAAACAAAAAAGGCCTATGAAATGTAAAAAAAAACGTGGCTTTAAAATCGATTGAGTATAATTACTGATTATATTCTTTTAATAATTTAAAAGATCAATTTGGTTTATAGGTTTCGGTATCGGTATCGATATCGACGATACTGGACTTGAAAATATCGGTATCGGATCGAAAATAAAATAAGAGGTATCGCCCATCCCTACAATGTGCGAGCGCGAATCTCTCCGTGCTCCAGTGTTGCCAAACCCCTCCCTCAGAAAAACTCTAGAACCACCCTTAAAAGTCTAAATTTTTCATAAAAAGTCGCCAAATATGAAAACAAAGTAAATACAGGTAAATTTGGTAAAGGTAAAGGAAAGTAAATATATATA